AACCTACTACAAAACTGAGCTTTTTTGAGTTGCTGGGATTTTGTTGGAGCTGCAATTTAATGCAAAAATAGGTCTCATGAACGACAAAAATAATTTAGCTTCAAAAGCACTCTTCAGAAAGAGAGAGAAGCAGTTGTATACTCCAGATATTTCAGACAACAGAAATCCTAGAGGCATCTATGATGCCAATGACTGAAGTGACACTATACAATCAGAACACAGGCACATCAGACTGCACTGGCAGCAACCAACAGGAGTGATGTGTTTTTAAATAGTTCTGCTTAGACTTTGCTCCAGGATGGGTTATTTTCAACCCTGCTGAGCAAGCAGCAATGTTCACTCACTTGGTGATTTGGAAGCCATACTGTACTGCTGCTTTAATGTGGCTCACTGGAATAGATTTAGACCATCCCCTCTGATAATCTGATTTTGTTTCAAACTTACGGTTTTGATGCACTAGATTCAAGAGGAAAAATTAGGTAAACCAACATATATGCCAATACCTGAATAATTAAAAACACCCCAATATACCCTGCTCCCATTAACTTTAATACGACATTAGTAAAAACCAATTTCAGCATTACTTCTTCCACTTCTCAAAGCAATCCATTTACACTTCCAACAGAGATCACTCCTGCAAAACAGCAATAGTAACTTTCATAAAATCAATTTATCTGCTTCTTTAAGGCATAGTTCTATTTCTGTCAGTATTCGATAACAGTGAAGAGTATTTTTAGTTGCTCGCTATTTACAGCATAAGGAACTGGGACATGAGACAAATCTTCTTGTCTCAGCCTTTGGAAACTGGGCACATCACTGCCTTATGTCTCTTACTTTCCTCCTCCCCCTCTTTTCAACAACAGGGTTAGTTAATAAAACCCTTTAAAAAGCTGACAGTGACTTATTTACACAAAGTCCTACATAAGTGGAAGTTCAACATTCCCACTATCAAGCAGTGAACTAAACTGTTCAGTGAGACCTATAAGATGCAACACAAAACTTATAAGTATTTGTGAATTATTCACAGAAATGTTATGAAATACGTATCTCACAGTTTCATGCCAAACTTTTGTAACTTTTTTATTACTTTTCTCACACTACTCTCCTGCTACAGCAGCAAAACCATTAATACTCCAACTGCAGCTAACAGGGAAAACTGTCTTCTCCCCTTTGAACTGACTCCCCCCTGCTGAACTGACCGGCAATGCTCTGTAGAGATGAAAACAAAGCTCATGCTGCAGCTTCTCTTTGAGAATTAAAACCACAGAATGTTATCCCATAGAATTATTCTCAAGTATGGATCTTGTAAGCACCAGGAAAATATACACTTAAAAAACAAATACTGTTCACATATCCAGTAAATGCTTTTGTTCACAAGCTCTTTAAAATTATGGAAATTTTATTTGCTTTCGGGTTAGTAATCATACTTACAGAATGAGATAACAGGAAGGACAAATGTATTTTCTAGCTCACAGCAATTTTAATATACTCAGAGACAGCACATATACTGCCACTGAAAGTAAAATACATAAAACCCACCCAAATTTGCTGAGTTTTTAATGGAGAGAGATCATTTCTCTTCACTGCATTCACACAAGAGAAGTAATCAAGGAGAGCAATATGCAATAACCCTGTTTTTTTCACTGGCTTACAGCACCAAGAAAATTATAATATACAAAACCAAATCACAGTCAGAAATTTTCCTCATCTAACTTCCTATTCTTTGACACTTCTTTTCACAATGCAGTCTCATTATGACATACTTTGAAAATGACTTATACATATATCATTATCAGAGTGGTTCAAGTAATTTCTAGTGATCTAATCCAAGCCTCCTCATCCAATTCCAAATGAGATTTCAAACTCAAGTCTCCTAGGGCTTGCACAGTGGCCTGATGGGACATGTTTTTAAATGAAGTTATGGTTTAAATTGATTTTTAAGCAAGACCGACATCCTGAAGTTAGCTGGAAAGACACTTCGTTAGCTTCAGTAACCTAAAGTTAGTCTTAAACTGATGCTGCAAACATCTACCTTTGATACTTCCTTGATCCTTGAAGGATTCAAACTTGGAATCACAACTTTGTTGCAGTACTTTTGAGGTTCAACAGAACTTAAGCATCAAACAAAACTGATTTGTATTGCATCTGCTAAGACTGATGATACATAAACATGCAGGCAAACTGCAGGAGAACTCTGGTGCATCAGTTCTGAAGATGTAGAAGTATTTCATGGTACTTTTTTATCCCTTCAAGCATTTGCAACTGAAGCTAGATTTCTGGGGATACACATGTCAAATTTCAATACTATTCTCTGTACATTTCCACTAGCTGTGGTGTAAAATGGGACATACTGGGTGCCACCACCTCTTCTTAAGAGCTCTCTGAAGGCACATGTGAGAGACACATGCAGATGAAGCTTTTATTTCACACAGATGTCACCATCATGAGATATAGGTAATCATTTAGTGACTTGAACTCTTCTCTTTTATTTACCAGATCACATGGAAGAGCAATCAGTATAGATATTTTTAAGAATGTATTTTTCAAAGAAACATGTATTCATTGGGTAGGATTTCTTAAAATGGCAGAATTAAAGACTGACTTTGTTTTTTCATAAATCTCTCTCACACCATAACTCTATATAAATCATTTGAGGACAGCACAATTAACAGTGTCATACACAAGCCAAAGTCTCGTTTGATGCTCACAAATGGCATACATTTAATAAAAAAATATTTCATCTGCAGCACAAAATGGAAGTACTCACTGATATCATCTTCATGATAAATGACAGAGTGGAATGGTAGGTTTCTGTCCTTTATGTATCTCTCTGCTGGTTCAATATAAAAGGTCCCACTGTGAGTTTGGATGAATCCTTCAAATTTTCCATCAATAACAGACCCATGAGTAAAACTTCCCTGCTCACCTGTTAAGGGACAAAGTGCATTTGAATGGTTTATACCCTTCAAAAATCCTTTCTAAGACTAAGATGACTCACCACTCAGACAGTTACAGCAAAATCACAGTCACTAAGTTCAGCAGCTTCCCAATCAGGTGCATAAATGAAATGTTTAAAAAAGTATATAATGAAGAATGCAACTCTGTATTTTAAAGCTGATACATATACAGCATGTAATTCTATAATCAAATCCTGTCCTTATACATCCATTCATACAATTAGAAATAATAAATAATAAAATTGGAGCACATACAGAACTTTGAAGCTTTCAAAGCTTCAAAGCTTTCAAAGAAAGACTTCCCTACATTCAAGACATCCATTTTTCTCTTCAAGCAGGTATATTACCCTTAATGATGGTAACTCTATATTGCTTTTATTGCTTTCAACTAAGAATGGTACCTGATTTCTTTTTTCTTCAATGCATACAACTTTTCTCTTTTTTTCAAATGTATCAGACTTCTATGAAGAGTATGTTTATAAACAGATTTGAAATTCAAGTTTTCTGGGTATAAGAATTATTACATTTAGATAGTAGATATTAGATACTCATTTAAGTGTGACTCATATAAAAGCAGATGGGAGTTTAAATGTGTTAGATGCATTATTAAAGTTTAACAATAATCTAATCATACAGACACTAATTTTCTCCATGTACTATTAGAAAATTCCTGTTTAAAACTGCTGTACTTTTATCCATTTTAAAGTGTTATACTTACCATAAATGTGTCCAGTGTAAATATGGGAGGTATCATAATCAATTACTTGGTTCGATATTTCTACTTTAAAGTCATCACTAAAAAGAGATGTATCTCTCTTCATTCGAAGGTTGAATTGTCTAAAATGAATAAAACAAGATAGTAAATTGGCTTTGAGCTTCAGCTACATGAGCACTAAATAAAGTACTGCAAAACAACGTTTTTGTGCAATCAATTTGCAGACCTTGTAAAACTTATCTGTAGAAAATGTGTTTACTGTACAAGAATTAGACCAGAGCCTAGAAAGACTTTTTAAGCAAGATTCTTTAGATGTTTTTGACATAAATAGCTAAAATTACAAGATTTAAGCCAGAAAACACATTAAACTTAAACACATAATTCTAAAATGCTGACTTGGACTATACACTTGTTCCCAGTTCTTCAGAAGGCACTTGGGTAGCTTAGGAAAAATGCAAGTATTTCACTTCATAGCACTGTGAAGCAGAACAGATAAAAACAGCTTTCACTTATTTTACTTTCATTGATGACACTTAAAATTTAAATAAGGTAAATTAAATGTAGGTGAGTTCATCAGTGTTTCAACTGAAACTCAAAAAATAAGATGGGAAACAACATCTAATAAAAATACTCAAACTGGTGGAGTCATATGAACAACTGTGTAAACAGATCTATTCATTAAATCACTGGGTTCATTTGCAATACTACGTACTTTAATGCAAATCCTACTGCCAAACTTTATATAAACAGCTTCCTTGTATGACAACAGGAATTTCATTGAAGCAAGCAACATAACTGAAGTGTTTTAAAATACCTACCATTATATGAATTCATACATGTGACAACCATTAGCTTGCTTCAGAATTTTATTTGGTATTCTCTTAAATTTTGTACAAACATTTGTGCAAATACAGATCATGAAGTTGTTGAAACTTCAGCCATTCCAATTTTAGACTTGATTTTCTTCCTGTATTTTTCT